TGAGGGTTATAATCCATAAGTGCGGCCGAAGGCCGCCTACGCAGAAAGGTGTACTCTGCAAAAGGTGTTCAGCGCCTTTTCTTCGCAACACAGAAAGAGAATTCTACTTTGTGAGGGTTATAATCCATAAGTGCGGCCGAAGGCCGCCTACGGAGAAAGGTGTTTATACACAAAAACCCTGTATACCTTTTTTCCACATTAATTCCATTTTCGTGAAAACTATAAAGAGGTATATGTATAAATATGTATATCAAATTAAAGAGAATTAAATTCTCTATCAAATGACATCAAAATTGTCCAATTCCTTGAAGAGATTTTCGAGAAATATTAATTTGAGGAAATACTTAATTTGAACTTTGACCTTTAATAATTGTTGTAGTTGTTGTTTCCCAAAAAAAATAAATATACCGTTATGTTCATCCTCAATGGTTTCTATCGATCCTATTTTTTTTTTTTAATTCGAGATTTGGTAGTATTGTGCATTTGTTCCTAATTTTCCAAATATGCCTGCTACTTCATTACTAATTACTCAATTTTCCAACTGCGCCTTCTTTGTTGGCTCGACATATCCTAAAAAGACATAAATTTATATTAAACAATAGAAATCGCTAAAGNGGCAGCAATATTAATTTGTATCAAATATAACATTAAACGGTGGTTCTAATACATTTTTTGATATTATTAAGTACATACATTATATGGTATTTCTTTCAAAAATTAATGTACTATATGAACTTTTTTTCAAATATTTCTTAAGTTTCTTTCATGAGTGCTGAAAAGCAACCATGCGTGTAAGAAATTGTGTGCTACCTAAAATTTCATCTCTGGAAACTTTATCCCCATAAAGGACTTCACCACAGTTTTTTTACTGGATATACTGAGATATCTACCTTTTGGCGGATTTATTTTACTTTTATTTTATTAATATTTTTATTATTTATTATTATATTTTATTATTATTAATAATTTGTTGTGTCTTTGTGTTCTTTTTTTTAATTTTTACTTATATTATTTGCTGTTTATTTTAATTTGTTTAATTCTATGAAAACTCTAATTTTTGTCAAAGACACATTAATAGTAAAATATTGCATAATTTTAGGTAATCTGTAGTAATTGATCGAGTTGCTTAATCACTCGCTGGTTTTGTTTGTTCATATTGTAGGCTTTTTGTTTTTGTTCTTTTTCGACTCCTTTATTTCCTCAGAGGAGTCCAACTTGTATGTTTTCATCGATTATTTGTTTAGCACTCATTTTGACGAATTTCAACGCGCACAATATCGGACACATCAGACCATCCCTGGTGGTCGGCCTGATTTATTTTTAACTACGTATTTTTAATTAATTAATTGTTCCGAATTCACGACACTGAATTTGCACTTTCTGTCACAGGGTTTCCAGTTATGAAATATGTAGATAATCGAATATTTGTTCATATAGATATGTATATGAATGTGTACATATGTATGTACATACATAGTTACTTTAATTATTTTAGTCATAGTTTAATAAGCTTTTGGACTCCAAGCATGTACAAATTTCACAAAAATTAATCAATCTTCAAAAAATTTCTTTGAAACTCTTATTCTTGTGTTTTCTGTTGTAGATTGAATTATTTTTTAAATAAAAATTATTAAAAATAATGGAGTGAACAGAAGCTGCAAACAATATCATTTTGATTATCCAAGTTTCCAAGGCTGAAAACAATGCCGAATCGCGTAGAAGGAAAAAAGGAAACCTGGTCATGCTTTTTTAAACTACCGGCCGGAAGAGCTCCTTAACTAACCAAAAGATAATTTGAAAACTGGCCCGAAAAATAAATAAATATAATTATGAATTTGGATGCTAGAGCTCTGACAATAACTGTATGTACATATTAACATGTAATTGTTATCTTCTATTATATTATGTTGGCAACAAATTGCCAAAACACTATGAAAGCATCCAATATATATGTACACTTCTGGCCAGCTGATTAAGTTAAGTGACATTTGGACCAGTTTTGGTTACATCGCTTTGTTTACTTTATTTTTATAATTTTTTATACATGTCTAGCACATTGTATAGCCAGCACCACATAAATTAACACTTCAAACTTCGTACAAAATTTATAAAAATTAAACAATCTTTAACAATTACACCCAAAACATTTAAACTCATTATTAAAACATTTTAGAAAAATTTAAAGTACGCATTTTTATAGCCCATTCAATTTTAGTAGGCCAAAGTGCAAATTTTTAAACCCTAGAAAATTGCGTTGATTTTTATACCCGAGCGCACTTGTGCACAAGGGTATATTAATT